TCGGCTCAGGGCCCAAAGCCAGCAGCGTGGGAACAACGGGAAGCGGGGTGACTCACAGACCTGCTTCCCCCACCCGCGTTCTGGAAGACAGAGCCAGGGGGACCCAGCCGAGGTCTGCAGGGAAGCCAGGGGCCTGAACCGAGCTCAGCCAGCCATGGGGAGCTCACTGACATTGGAGGGGGTTTAGGAGCTTGAGGCCATGGGCAGAGCCCGTCGCAGAGGGTGCGGGCAGGCAAGAAAAGGAGAGAGAACCGAGGGAGGGCCCAGGAGAGGAGCTTTTTCTCGGGCAGGTGCCCACCAGCTACCGGCCAGACTCAAGAGGGTGGCAGCTTCAGGACCTACCGAGGATGAAACCTCTGGCCAGCAGGGGGCCATGAAGGAGGGTGTCCGATCAACTGTCCTCATGAGAGCACTGACCCTGCGCTATCACCTGTTGTGAGCCCACCATGAGCCAGGCCTAAGTGGTGAACACCTGGCGGAAGGCAGCAGAAGACCCAAGGGCTCAGGGGTTGGCTGGGGGGGTGGGGGGTGAGACAGGTGGGCAGGCGCTCAGAGGCAGGGCCACACAAGTGGCAGCCTGACCTGCCAGCCCTGGGGGATCAAACCCAACGAGAGTGGAGGAGCACGTGGAACATTTTGGTCTGAGGGGCCCTGCTTCAGGGTGCTGACATCTTCCAGCCGTGGTCCTGACCCTCCCACGTCCCCTCATCTTCTCTGCTCTGCACTGAACCAGGCCCCAGTAGATTCAGGTCCACTGTCCCTCTGGAGGACCACAGCTGTCTCCCGCCAGGATTACTGCGGCCCCCTCCTCGCTGGGCTCCCTGCTCTGCAGCAGGCCCAGGTCCCTCCCTGGCCTTGGAGGCTCTTTACAGTCAGGACTCTGCCTGTGTCTCCAGCCCCATCTCCCCCTCTTTCACCCTGCTGGCCACGTGGGCCCTCCCACAGCTCCTGGTCAGGGTTCCATCTCTCTCACTCATTCACATTCTGTACTGGAAAGCTCCCTCCATGCTTAGTTCCAGCTCTTCTTTCAGAGCTCAGTGGGAGAGTCACCTCCTCCAGGAAGTCCTCCAGGGCCCTCGGTCTAGGTCAGATTACTCTATCGTAAATTTCTGTCTCGCAACCACACAGACATTTCCTCTACACGTTCATCAGGGCCTAGAATCACACATGCGTTGGTAACCTGTTTAGTAATGGGGCTGTCTGGCACAGCATGAATCGGTGCATGATGAGCAGATCATGACGGAGTTTTTGTCCCACCAGATGACAAAACCTGCGAGAGGAGGGACCACTCTTGGTTTGGCCTTCCCCAGAGCCTGATCCAACAACAGACACCAAATACAGGCTTATGTTTGGTCACTGAATGGAGGGGGACAAGGAGTCTGATGCTGGGAGCATTCTTTAGCTTTAGGTTTCAATGTTAAGAGTTCTAATTTAGGTCAAATAAATGTCACTGACCAGGCCCAGCTCTGGCCTTGGGATGGCAGGGACAGGGTGTCTTGCTCTCAGTCACCAATAGCAAGAAGTACCGATTTCCCAGAAATGCGTGACCTTCAACGTGGGGAGTGGAAATGCTGGGACCCAGGCCCCCCTGCCTGCAGACACTCTCTTGACTTTCCCAAAGGTGGCTTTCACGATGGAATTTTGCTTCTTGCTGTCAACCCACCTGGATGCACACAGGCTGCTTCATCCTGCCGGTGGCTGAGGATGCATCTGTGGCCAGCAGGTGCAGGCTAGAGCACCAGATCACAAATGACAGGTAGTTTTGTACAGGGTAAAAGTCACAACTTTTTCCCACGGCCAATTTGTAAGTCTCATCTTCTGCCGCCGTGATTTACCGACCGCGGGGTCACACATCCTCCAGCCGGAAGGAAATGAGACTGCGTCTCCTGTGTCCTCTGCTACCTGAGCTACCTGTCCTCTGCGGCTCTGTCCTCTGGCTGCCTGAACTCAAGGGTTTCCTCTGCCTTTGGGCAGCCTTTTCCCAGGAGGGAGGGAACACAGCTGCTCTGGCGTCAGACAAGCTTTGGCGGTGGCTCCAAAGACAGTGCCAGGGAGCCTACAGTCACCACGCTGTTAGCACCCTGTCGCCTGTCCCCAGCAAACATCCCCAGGCTCCCAGATACTGTGGCCACATACACGTCCAGACAGTCATTCTTGATTGCTTTTTCATGTCTCGTCCCGTGTCACAGTCACATTGATCTCCTTGGGCCAGCACTACATAAATCTCCTGTTTATAACTCATTACCTTCTGATTAACTGAAAGGCTGGGTACTTGTTTCACAGAGTTTACTGACTCTAATTGCCATAGTTATTCATGAAAGAGCTACCATAATCCTTTGTCCACTTTCTTGCCCATATGCTCCCTCCAAGCTCCATGTTTCTCCCACATGGTTGCCACACATGGGTAAACCAGGGAGGTGTGGAAGGTATGGCTAAGACAGGTGTCTGAGACTCTAGGCCAGGCAGCAGGCAACAGATTGGGCACCACACCTTCCCCCATCATTCCCCCAAAGACCCCAGTGCCTATTGCAAGTGCCTTCAACCAGATGCATCAGCTAGCAATGAATAAAACTCCCATCTCTTTTTTCGGCACAACCACAAATAGCCTATCCGGCCACCACTGACACCAGAGTGATGAGCAGAGAAGCAGCCTGCACGGCATTTCCAATCAGGAGAATCTGATGTTCCTCCTTCAGAAGGTAAATTCTGAGATGAGCCCACCAGGCATATTTTCCCAACAACCATAAGGAAAAAAAAAAAAAGTAGTTACTGAACTTTCTCAGACTTATTAGCTTTCATAAACAGAGATTTGAATAAATGTTTAAAAAATGAAATTCCCTTGATACTCTGTAATCAGTAAATGTTCATTATGGAAACACAGCAAATATGCATGAAATTTCCCAAGTGATATTCTGGCTACAAGATTAAAAAGGCATCTCCAACTGCAGGCTGAGTTACAGAGCATACTCCTCCGGTCACCATTCAGGACAACTCTGCGAAGCCCAAGAGGTCAGACAAGGCTGTTTCTTTCCTAGTAGAAACAGGGAAAATCAGAAGATGCTCCCTTTTGCCTGCTCAGGCAATTTGGAAGTGAGCCCCTCCCCCCACTGATTGATTGATGTCTCTCTATAAATAATTAATCCTTGACCTTGCTTTAAGAAAGCCTTCACTTTTTAATTTGGGGTCTTTTTAAAAATCAATACTGGGGGAACATAATTCACTCTCGCGGAGTCTGATTCCAGGTAAATAAATAAATATGCTGTGCCTTCCCTCTGTCCCAGGGTGAAAGGGCCAGACAATGGATGGGGTCAGGCTTTGCGGGGGCTTTTTTTCTATTCAACTGCTACTGGAGTATCGATCATCCTATGAGGCTCAATTCTCTTCAGAGTCTGAATGTTATTCCTCCTTTGGGTCACTTCACAGAGGCAAGTCTGACCAAGTCTTTGGAATGTGCTTCATGCTGGCCAAGGGCGCCCCACAACATGTCCTGCCATATGCAGTGGGCTGTCTGGATTAAAACAGGGCCTCCTCCAGGGGCCAGAATGTCACCCTTCCTGGTGGCCTGTCTGCCTTGCTTTTGGGACAGGAGCAGAGGGTGCCGAGGAGAGGCTATGGCAGCTGGGAAATTTTAAAGAGGGCTCTGCCATTCTTGCCTGGAGGCTGCACTGTTCTAGGGCTGGACTTAGGGAAAGTTCTCCACCCCATGGGCAAGGGTCAAGGTGAACTCAGATCTGAGGGATCAGCGGAAGGAAGGGGTCTTGGTAGTGCAGCTTGTAAGCAGTCCAGGGATGGGAAAGGGGCTTGTCTGCCCCTAACCCCTCCTGCAACCACCACTCCTCCCACACTGGTCCCTTCATGCACTGGCCTCTCCTTCAGGCTCCGCTGCCAGGCCAGACTGCGGCCAAGCAGAGACAGGGGGCCCGGCCCGCTTCACTTAGCAGAGCCAATCACGGCCCAGGCTCCAGCTGGGAGGGGGCCCAAGGACCAGGGTCCACCACACTATCGGAGACCGCTAAGGGACAAGGAATCCCAGGGTTGGCCCCTACTTTTCAGCTAGGACAACAGCCGGGCAGCGAGTGCCCACAGCCCAGGGCGCTGGGTGGTTGCTGCCAGCTCCAGGTCGGGGTCGCAGGGCCTGGAGCCCTAAATGTACCGCCAAAGTTAGGGGAAGAGACAGGGGTCACCTGCGACACAAGCGCCAGCACTGGCACAACTAAATCCCGCGAACGCGCCTCGGCCGGGCGGGGACGGCCTCGGGCGAGGCCAGAGCCGGTCGCAGAACTAGAAGCCAGCAGCCGGAGCTGCAGCCGCCTCCGGAGCTCGGCTGGGTCCCGCGGCAAAGCGGCTCCTTTCACCGCCCACTCCCGGGCTCCCGCACTACTGCACGCCTGGACACGCGCACGCACACACCTTCACAGGATCACTGACGCACACACACTCCCCTTGAGTACAAAACAGGCTGGTGCCCCGGAGAGTCGCGGGGTGAGAACGCGCGCAAATGGAACGCGAGGGCACCTTCCGCCGTAGCGTAGGAAGCCAAGAAGGTAGCCTCTAACTCCTCCCTCGGGCCTCCCCGTCACAACCTGTCCCCGAGTCCCCGTCCCCAGCGCGCGGGAAAGCTCGGGGCGCCCCCGGGCTCCCGCACGGCTCTCTCCGGGGCCGACGCTGCCTCCCCGCGCCCAGCATCCAGGGCGAAGAAGAGGAGCGGAGGATCCGCAGGGACCGAGTTGAGCCCGCGGGGTGACAGTTCACAGACGCGCGGCGACAAGCAAAATCCAAGGAGCAAAAGTCTAATTAAAGTTCCCGCTACTGGAGCCAATCCCCAAAGTGCGGCCAGACTGGAACCCCGCGCGCTCTATCCCCGCCCGCGGCTTGGAACTCTTACCGCGCCGTTTCTCCGGGCTTCTCGGGGCTGGGGCGCAGTGCAGTCCCGGGGGACCCTTCGGGGCGCCGCTCCCGGCGGGAGCCGGCACAGGGCGGGGACGGGGTGGGGCACTTACCTGGCGCAGTCGGCGATTTCGGGGCCGCGGGAGGCTCCAGCCCCGGCGCGGTCCTCCACTGCGAATCCTCCGTTCCGGGGCGCCCGGGCTGCAGGACCTCCGCCCCGGCTCGGGCCCGGCGTCTCCTCCTGCTCCGAGCGAAGCCCCGTGCGGTCGGCGAGGCGACAGGCGCGGGGCCGGCCACCGGAGCGCGCAGAAGAGGGAGAGGGCACGGCGGCGTGTTCCTCCTCTGTCCCCGGCTCCGGTCCGCCCCCCTCCCGCCTCCCGCCGCCGTCGTCTCCTCTCCTCACAGCGGCGCTGGATCCGGTTCTCGCACCAGGAAGGCTCCCAGCGAAGTGCGAGCGGAGCCTCCGGCGAGGCTGGAAATAGCGCCGCGCCCGCCCGGCGCCCCGCCCCCGGCCTGGGCCCCGCCCCGCGGTGGTGGCGGCCGCGGCGGTGGCCGGGTCGGGAGGGGATCACACCTCAATCGCCTCTTCCCTCCTGGGAGCTCACGGGCGCCGCGCCCACGCGCGCTCTCCGACTCCCGCGGCCCCACGGGCGGCGAAGCTGGGAGGGAGACGCCGCTGGGCGCGGTCCGGCGGCCCCGGGGGTGGGGGTGGGGGTGGGGATGCCCCGGGCGGCGCCGGTCTCCCAGCCTCCCCCTGAGCCGGACTCTGGGCGGCCACTTGGCTCCAGACCGCGGCCGGAGCGCTGCCTCTGCCTCGCTGGGTCGCACGCCGGCGCGGACCCGGGAAGAGGACAAGGCGTCACCAGAGCGGGCCGTGACCGCAGCTGGGCAGGAGGGCGCGCCTAGGACCCGACGTTGCGGGGGCGCCGGGGCGGCGGAACGCAGAGGCTAGGTCCGAGGATAGTGAGAGGTTTCTGGGCTACAACCTCGGTGGCTTTCAGTCGAGGTCTTGGGCAGCCTCGAGCGCTGTGTCCGCATGGATCCCCAAATTCCTGGGGCTCTGGATTCAGCTGAAAGTGCCCTAGGCTTTCCCTTGAAGGCTATCTCCTTGAAGTCCCTGTTGTGTCAGGGCGTAGGGGTCAGCCTGGGTCCACCAACGCCTCTGCCTACACACCCTACAATAACAAGTGGACACATGACATATCCATAGCCACACAACACCGGCGCAGAGCAGGGAGGCAGAGGGAGTCGGTGGGGCTTCTGATTCTTGTCCTTGTTCTTTAGGAGAAGCGGCAGCCCCCACCTGCAGGGGGCAAGCAGGTGCCAGGAGGGAAAGCAGGCTGGCTTTCACAGAAACTGTATGAAACTGTAAATCAGTCACCTCTTCATCTTGAAGGGATGACCAGTATTTTCAGAAACCTTTAGGAAAATCAAGTGAAGGATGTTCACCCTCCTCTCATGTTACCTGCTGATAGGCTACCTTGATCTCCCTTAGTTCCTGCAACAACGAAGCAGGCGTTATTCCTGTTTTATAGAGGAGGAAACTGAGGTACAAGTTTGGCCCCAATGTCAGGGAAAGCAAGGCCGTTCAGTCACTCAGTCATGTCTGACTCTTTGCAACCCCATAGACTATAGCACACCAGGCCTGCCTGTCCGTCACCAACTCCTGTAGCTTGCTCAAACTCATGTCCATCAGGGTCTTTTCCAATGAATCAATTCTTCGCATCAGATGGCCAAAGTATTGGAGCTTCAGCTTCAGCATCAGTCCTTCCAAAGAATAGTCAGGACTGATTTCCTTTAGGATTGACTGGTTTGATCTCCTTGCAGTCCAAGGAGAGCAGGACAGTAGCGTCTTTATCCATCCCATGAGCAAAAGCTATCGGAACAGAGCAAGAGGGAAGATGGCAAGGAGGAGGGCTGTGGTTGTTGGTGAAGTGAGCAGAAAGCTACTTGCCCGAGGAGGAGCCGAGTGCACTGCCCCATCCCAGCCCCTGTGCCCTTCCTGCCTACACCTCCAGTTGCCTCTCACCGCCTGGTGAGAGGTCCTGGCTGTGCAGCTGGGCTGGTTGCTGAAGAAGCCTGGTGGTCAAGGGAACTTCTTCAGTGCCATGCACACTCACTCAGACACACACACACACACACACACACACACACACACACACACACACACACAAACTGGGCAGTGGGGAAAGGATGTAGAGCGGAGTTTCTGTCCCCTGACCCCAGTCCTGCAGCCAGGAAGAGGCTCTGGACCACAAGTGTTTCCACTGGATGAGTCTACACAAGCTCTGCCTCCACAGGACATGTCTGCACAGAGTTTTCCCTGGGCCAGGCCAGGCGTGAGTGTGGCTGGTCAGGCTGTCTCGGCTGCCCTGTGCATCTATGCACAGTGATCCAACTGGGAAGGACGGTTTTTCCATTAGCTTTTCCCACTGTACTTATTAGCACTTATTTGCATCTAATATTCAGGCAGACCCGCCAAGAATCAACAATGCTGCATTCCTTTGATATACGCTACACGTTCAGTTTTGCACTCAGACTTCTTTCTGGTTTCTAAAGGCCCTCAGGAAAATCCCCAAAGGGGGACTGCCATCCCGGGCACCAATGTACACTGAGTTATCCTCCTCGGGATTTGCCCCGGACTGCATGCCCTTTTTTGAAAGTCAGGCTCGGCCTCTGCAGCAAGGAAGGTGGAGAGATGCTGCAAAGCCGGCATGGAGCCCTGTGCGCACTTAGGGTTCTTGATATGCGTGTCTCCACTGAAAGATCAGTGGCAAACTGGTCCCTTTGCATCTCAACTAAAGGAAAAGGACATATGCACTAGATGGCCTCCTGAGTCCACATCCCAGGCCCCAGGAGAGAAAACAAAGGCTCGGGAGGTCCTCTGTTGCCACCAAAGGTGTGGGTGCAGGAGGGGGCCTGTGCAGGTTTGGCTGAGGGCATCGGGCAAACCAACTTTCCCTTGCTGGGCCCCAGACCATTCCCTAGAGCAGCAGAGATACTTATGGCCTTGGGGCGGGGAGCTGAAGGCAGCACAGTGGGGGATGCATTTTGTGTTTGATGCAGGGCATGCAAGCCCACTGATAGGACTGAATCCTTAGTCCTAAATTCATTCTGTTGCAATGAGAATCAACAGGGCACCGTTCTTGGGAGGCAGAGGGAAGCCATCTGGAATGGCAGGTCTAGGAGTACCCATCTCCGTTATCCTGTGGGAGAAAGATGAGAATGATGGGATGGACCGGGGGCCTGTCTCAGCTCTCCAATGACTGGCTGGGTGGCCTTGAGTGCATCTCCTAGCCCTTCCCTGAAGCTCTGATACTTTTGGCCAGCTGCTGCAAAGAGCCAACTCATTGGGAAAGACTGAGAAAGATGAGAGAGGGAGGAGAAGGGGGCGACAGAGGATGAGAAGGTTGGATGGCATCACCGACTCAGTGGACATGAGTGTGAGCAAACTCATGGAGATAGTGAAGGACAATCACCGACTCAGTGGACATGAGTGTGAGCAAACTCGTGGAGATAGTGAAGGACAGGGTAGCCTGGGGCACTGCAGTCCATGGTGTCTCAAAGAGTCAGACATGACTTATCAACTGAACAACAACAACCCTTCCCAGTCTGTTTCTTCATTAGCAAAATGAACAATAGATGCCACCCTGCTGTAGGGCAGCAGGGTTTCACAGATGAGGTGAAGGATGGGAAAGCGTTTTGGAAAATGGAATCCATGGCTGGCCTGCTCTGAATCACACTTAGAGCAGCTACCTTAGGGCTTCAGTGTCCAGCATCTGGCCCTAATGTAGTTGTTGGTGGTGGTTTGTTGCCAAGTCACTTTTGCAACCCCATGGACTATAGCCCACCAGGTTCCTCTGTCCATGGGATTTCCCAGGCAAGAATACTAGAGTAGGTTGCTATTTTCTTCTCCAGGGGATCTTCCCGACCCAGGGATGGATCCTGTGTCTCCTGCTTTGGCAGATGGATTCTTTACCACTGAGCCACCAGGGAAGATCTACGCTGGTCTCTAAAATATCTGACCCCAGCGTTTCCCAAAATCAGTTCAACACACCTCTGACATGCTGATTTGAGCACCATTTAGATGAGAGACTCTCTCTTGGGGACCTCGCTGCTTCCCAGCGGCTCTGAGATGGTGGCCAAGCCTCCTCCCAACCTCACCGCCCCATTTGAACAGTGAGGGGGATGCAGCTCAGGCTCTTGAGGCCCCTCCAGGCCCAAGCTGTGATTCCACAGTTCCTAAAATTTCCTCACCTGGAAGGGAGACCCAGAGATTCCTTTGGCTACCTGGGATCTTGTCAGATGAATGCTCCTTCCCTGCCCTTTCCCTCCACTTCCCATGACCTTTCTCCTTTTCTGTCCCCTCTTTGGTTTCTGAGGAGCTGGAAGAAATGGGTTGCTGTGTTTCCTTCTATGTTGAGTGGCCTGAAATTCCCTGAATGTCAGAGTGCCTGTGTGAAAGTGGGCTGCATTAGCAATGTTGTTGGGGTTCCAGGCACCCACACATCCCAGATACCTGCTATAATTTCTCAAAACTCACCATCATAAGAACAGTTTCTTTGTAAGATTTTTTTTTTTTTTTGGCTGCACTGAGTCTTAGGTGCCCGGTGTGGGATCTTAGTTGCAAGTTGCAGGAGCTAATTCCCTGCCCAGGGATCAGACCCAGACTCCTCTGCATTGGGAGCTTGGAGACTTAATGGCTGGACCACCAGGGAAGTAACATACAGTTCCTTTTTAAAGAGCAAGTTTCTGGGTCAGACTAATGTGACACCAGTGTTTGTCGCTAACACAATGAGAGTGGGGGAACAGAAAAGGTGTGCTGAGTACAACACAGCAGAAACTGACTGTGGTTAACTTAAGTAACAAAGGAGGGCTTCTTGAAAGGACATTGCGGGTCTCAGAGCAGCGGCAGAGCCTAGCATCTGGGAAGGAGGAGGGCAGCTACCAGGGCAGAGGGTTAGAGGACCCTTGGGGTCTCCAGGGAGGGATACCCGGCTTTCCATCTAATATCCATGCATCCGCAGATAGATTTTTGTTGACTCCAGAGTCCAAGAAGGAGCCAGATCCAAGTCTACATCCAGTCCATCCGTGCAAACTGGGCTCAGAGCCAGCCTGGTTTCTCTCTTGAGGTCTTGCCAATTTCAAGTTCATTCTGGTGCTTCTTAATTAACAAAAAAAACCACTATGGAGCT